AAAGTTGAGTCTAAAGGACATTAAGTTTGAATGTTGATTGCATCAGAACTGTATAGACAAATTGCAGAAATATTTTAGGATTTTTCTTGACCACTCTCCAATATATCAAGAACCTCACCTAAGCCTAATCATAGGCTAAGCTTTGGACTTGCCATTGTAATGAGTGGCAGACATAAATTTTTAAATAGAAGTGAAAGAATGCATTATCCTAAGCCTAATATGAATTAATGCTGTGTTTACATAACTGTGGGATAAAATATAATCAGTCATATTTTTATGTAGTTTAAGTGAGTACAACATTTGCCTCTTAAGGAACAGTAAGGGCCCTAAGATGGGAATCTGACATCTCACAAAGATTTTTCTATTAAATCTTAAACATTTTTTGTACCACCAAGAATAACCACATGCCCTCAATCCATATTGTCCTTATCCTTCCTAAAAAACAATGGAGAGTTTGCTTTGTGAGTTCATAACTAAAGTTAATGGGAACATAACAGTATTGTCAGATAATTGCAGATAATGATCAGTCTACCTTGACAACTATCATGATATCTTCATTAATGAATCTTCTGGGAAGGAAACTTTATGGATTCCTACTGTTTTTAGATAAAGGCTCAATAATAAACTGTTAACTCAGAAATTATAGCCATCCTTGTTCTGTACCTAATCCTCTTTTTCAGCTTTATCTTAGTGGTTTTCCACTTAGACATAAAATCTATATTTTCCTTTTGGCAGCGGTTGAAATCTTCATGATTATTAAGACCTGGTTGAGAAGTGGCCACTTTTTGTATCACCTCCAAAAAGACATGAAGTCACTATTTTGATTCTCCATGGCACTTGGTGTATCTCTGTCTTAGTTGTGACCGGGACTGTTGTGTCTTTATCAGCCTGTTTCCTTTTCCTCCTGGGCATGAAGCTAGACCTCATTTCCCAACTCAGTTTCTGTTAGATGGACCCATGTGACCAGGCTCTGGCCAAGAGAATGTAGGTCAAAGGATGTGGGCCAGTCTGAAGCTTGGCCCCTAAAAGACCTTCCACTGAATCTGCCATTCCCTTTCTCAGTGCTTGTCTGCTAACAAGATTCAGAGGAGTCCAGTGGATGTCCAAGATTCAGGGCTATTGAAAGTCACCAGGTGGAAAGACTGGAGGTACCAAATGTTTGCTATCTTGAGCACATTGACCGTGATATGAGTGAGAATTGAGCTTTTGGCATCAACCCAATGAAATTTTAAGGTTGCTTATGAAAGCAGTCATCCTGCTCTGTCCAATCTGTCAGTGTACTTGTTACATTTTAGTCATTTACAGTATTTGTCCTGTGTTTCTGTTTTCATAGGGCCTAGGATGATGTTTTTGCATAGTAGAGATTCAGCATGTCATTCAGAACTTAAAACCTGCCTGTTATGTTCAGGGCTGATGGGAGAAGTTCTGTAGTCAGCACTAGATAAGAGGCCATGGGAGCTGAGAAGGGAGCAATGGATCTTTGTACGGAAGAGGTGCTGGAAGGTGAGTGACCAGGCATTGCTGACAGCACTTCCAGCATTTACCTTATGACATCACTAGTAGCTACAGTTAATTTTACATCCTCATCGTCAGGATCCTTGAAAGAGAAAGGCTGTTCCCTGCCGGAAACCAACGGGGCCCAGAATGTGAAGATTGCAACAGAGTGGAAATCCATGTCAAAATGTATCTCCAGAAAGAAGCATAACTTGTTAGAGACCCAGATGTCCTTTGGGGTCATGTATTGATCACTAACATCCTTTTTTGTTTGTTTGTTTTGAGACAGGGCCTCATTCTGTCTTCCAGGGTAGAATGCAGTGGTGTCATCATAGTTCAGCTATAGCAACTTCTTAAAATTTTCTATAATATTGCCTTTTACTTCTCCCAGCCCAAAGGCAGTTTTATTTTTGCCTGTGATTTACTCTTTCTTCTATCCGCTGTTCTCAACAATGTAACTATGGGTACAAACGACATCCCTCAAATGCTCAGATGTGCAGACTTCTTGCCTTAATAGAACTGCCTGCCATTCTTTGTCAGTAACAGCTTTGCTACACCCTGACTCCAATTTGGAATTCTTATCATTCCTATTACCTCTCAAATTGTATTGCATCCACCAAAACTACATGTCCTACAACACAATGTTTAGCCATTTTCTCTTAAAACTCTCTTGGCTTTTAAAAGTCACGTGCCACTTTGTTTCTCAAGGACTCTGAATCTATAAATCAAATAATATCAAATCCATTGTGGGAGAAACAGGCTAATGAGATAAATCTAGCTTTAGTGTGACTATTCTGTGATGTGTTAATCTATTTTATAAGGTGTTAAAAGTTTCTTAACAAACAACTCTTAAGTGCCCATTTCTCTGAATCTGTAGTAACTGGGCACCCCCAGGGGGCGCTCCGTCTCACAAAATATGCCGCGCATTTGGGGGACGCGCTCGCTCAGAGGGGCGGCCTCTCTGGAGAACATCAGCCCTCCCCACCAAGCTTGGGTCAGAAACAAATTAGAAAACCCACTCAAGTCCATAGCCTGTAAATAATGCCTGCTGTGAGCCCAGGCCAGCCTGCTAAAAACCCAGGGTTTAGGAAGCAGGGGCTGGGAACGAGGGAGCAATGGACCCCACACAAATGTCCTTTCTCCTTGGCGTTCCCTCCGCTGACAGCAGGAGCGGATGGAGTTCGCAGGACTCCACTACCAGCAGGGTCCCCGTGACGGTCCGTACACAGGCTGGGCTGAATTCTGGACCCTGCCCACCCTGTGCCCTTTCTGCCGCGCAAATGTCCCTTCCATCTCCTGCTACAATCAGCTCATTTTAGGGGCAAAAGGTCAGGCAATTAGGCGTTGAAAGACCCAGCTCTGAGTCCAGGGAAGGGGTACTAATTGTGATAGGTGTTGGGTCCTAAAGCACAGAGACTTTGAGTTGTCCTGGTGCTTGCTGTCTGAGGTCCAGGCAGTCCTCGTGACCCCTTTCTCCTCAGGAGAGTGACCACAATTCCCTCGAGTGAAGAGCCTCCCAATTCACTCATGGACTCGGCGGCTTTCGTGTCACCCTCAACCTTTGCCATCAATTAAGAGTTATTTATTTTCCCGGTTCTGAGTTAGGGGGAAAAAATCGCAGAGGGGTATGTTTCTAAATTCTGCAGCTCTGGGTAGGCAGCTTCAGTTCAGGGACAGTGCTGGGGCAGCTCCGGGTCTGTGGAAACCCACCCTTCCTGAGCGGACGGCGCGGCCCGGCCGCCCCCAGGGCCCGGGGAGCCCCAGCCCTAGCTCCGCCCCGCTGGGCCCCGCTCGCCCGGCCGGCCTGGGTGGCAGCGCGGCCCGAGGTCCCGAGCTCCGGCCCGGGCGCAGAAGGCGCGCGCGTGTCTCTGGAGTCCGCCTGCGTGTGCGTGTGATGAATTGGAGTCATCCGACTGGTGTTTCCTTCCGAGTGGGGGTTGGATCAGCAATCCATTAGGGGATCATGGAAACTTTTTTTTCTGGCTAAAAGGATGAAAACGGAGTAAGTACACAGAACTTTGAACTTGAAACAGAATGAAACAAATACAAGCAAAACCCTGATAGTAACCATGTCCATTCAAACCGCTTATTCCCTTTTCATGTTAAGAGCCGTGAATGCTTACAGGAAAGTGGGAATTTAAAGCTGAAAGAAGGGCAGCTTACAAAAGGCTGGAAGCGGGACTGCTTTAAAACCGGAGGAAAAATGAGGAACTGCTAAGGCAACCTGGCCTGCCTCCAGCTGTGCAACAGGCGCTGTGGGTTTAACCTACTGCATTCTTCAAGGCTGTTTCCAGACTTCAGATTCACTTTGGTGGTGTTCTCTCCACTCCTGTAAAGCTGGGGCAGAGTCGGATTCCTTTGCTGCGAGTTTAAGGATGTTGTGAAAACACGGCATTGCCGGAAGCAACGGTTTGGCAGCAACACCAGGTTATTTGTTACATCTATTATTATTTTGATGTCTTTTTTTAACCCTGGTCAGCCACTTTTCACTGTCATCCATGGAAGGGCTCTCCTTAACCGCCTCAGACTTTTGGGACCTATGATTCTTTGGCATGATCCTTCGGAAAGTTCTCAAGCAGAGATGGAGCAAACTTGATTGGAGCTGTGGAAGAACAGACTTGTATTTTTCATGCTGACAAAAAATAGCTGCTATGACTTTTCCCGCAACGTGGACAGGGGCCAAGTGAAGCTGGACTGGTCATGGTCTGTCGTCCAGTGTTCCCTTGTCGTCGGCGATTTTGCCCCCGGCCCTTTTTGGTGGGTTTGGTTGTGGCCATCTGTCTCTTCTACCAGACCCTGACCCTCCGAGGGACAAGGAAGCTTACAGCCGCTGTCCCTGGCACTGCCCCCCACACATCTACGGCCATCCAAGCAAGCAGATGCAGGAAAGAATTCTCCCAGGACAAACCGTGCTTCCTTCTCCCTGGTAATGCGCAGGAAATCAGAAAGGTAAGCCTGTCATAAGCTTAACACGGAGACGATTTCTGCAAAGGCAGCCCTCTGGCTCTCTGTCCTGTAAGACTAAAATTAACTTCCATGAGGTCTGAAAGGGATCCAGAGTATAAACAGCCTAGAGAGTGACCTGATGACAGGGAAACACGTTACATAAGCTTCAGCTTCTTACATTTACTTCCAGAAAGTTCTGGACATTATTTTATCTCTTAGAATTTTACTTCATTTCAGCAGAATGAGATAGCCAATTTGGAGGAGGGGAGAATGATGCAAGTTCTTTCTAAAATATTAGGATTCTATGAGATTTGAGGATTTAAAATTCAGAAACCCAAATCAAAGAGTCAAAAAAACTGAATGTCTGCTTCCTCAAGGTGGTCACTGAATACCGGCACATTCCAGACTAAAAGATACTCCAAAGCCCATTTTATAATTAGCTAAACCAATTCATTGATGAACACATTTCCAAAGCAATGGATGTATTTCTAAAGAATTTAAAAGAAAAGTATAAGAAGTTTCCAAACAATTGACACACTGTGTTTTATTGGTTATAGAATTAGGGGAATAGAGATTATTTTATATTTATACCATTCCAGTAAACCATTAACCTTACTTGTCAAGTGTTGAAAAAAATAAAGCACAACAAAACTCATAAAATTTATATTTTAAAATAGCCCTCCGATCCTGCCTGTCAGTAAAATGATGACCTGTAAAACATTCCAGTGTAAAAAAGAAAAAGAAAAAAAAAAAACTTAACACTAAAAATATCTTGGTGGCAAAGCTACCGCAGTCAGTAGTATTATAGCAAGGTAATTTAGGAACCTGTAAGTAGTACTCTATATTTACAATAGATGTAGGTTGATCGTATGATCCTGGTTATTGTTTGAAGCAGAATTTCCTTTTGAATACCAGTACTACTGCTACCATTATTATCAACACCTCCAGTGCCACTTGTTTTAAAAACTATTTTATTTGTTTCATTTCAAATACCTTGTGAGTTAGGTACAGTAGGGGTGATTGCCATCATTTTGCAGATCCGATGACTGATACTACAGCTCTTTAGGCAGGCCACACGGTAAGCATTAGGACAAGATGGATCCCCCGGGGAATCGTTATCAAGCCACAACTTTCCTGTTGAAGACTGATGCTCTAAATAAAAGTGATTTCAAAGCTCTCATAATTCGCGAAGCCACAACCACAAGAACTTACTGAAATGCAAGACAATTTTAGATTAAAATCAAACTTTGAAAACTTCTATCTTCATTCATTATCCACAATGTTAAGGAACATTTTGACCAAGAAATAGCTTATGGCAAAAAAGAGTAGGTAATATGATTAAAAGCACTTTTCGATGAAACTTCAACCAAAAGTGTGAATCCATTTTTAGGTGCTATAAAGTAATTAAAGACTGTGTATTTTTTGTTCATGTATGCTAGCAGTAACTTTTATTTGCATTATTTTTCTTTTCTTGAATTATCATGTTTATGATAGATGCAAACTATGACTTTTAAAATCACTTCTTAGTTTCTAATATTGATAAATATAATTTCTTCAAAAAGGGTTGAAATAGTTTTGCTCTTAAGTGACTGCAAGTTCTACTAAAATTTTGGATAAAAAGGTTTTATTCACTGACTTGCAGTCTTCTTTACTTCCCTCCTGGATGCCATGTGATTCTTGCTTTTTATAAGAATTTCTAAATTTTGTGACTTAGGCATATGTTAACTGCTATCTGTGGGCTGTCACAGAAAATTCCATTTCAACTTTAAATCTCTGGCTACTTACAAACCATCTGAAACTCATTGGCTGCTGCAATAAAACATTCACTCTGGAATTTTCTTCACTAAAATGCCAAACACATGAAGATTTTGGTTTCCAAATGTTTCACAGTCTTAAATATTTTAATCATACACAAGATTCTAAATTCACAATTATAGTTTCAGTAGCCTAACAGACACTAAAACACTGGCTATGTATCTCCATTTTTAGCCTGGGCCAGCCATAGTTAGAGCCAATTTTTATTTGAGGATATAAAGGCTAGAAAAAGTCATACACACATTAGGTAAAACCATATGCAAATTGATTCTACTTTTAACATATGTTCCTGAAAGTAATCAAATAATAATCTCATTTTAGGTAATTAGATTTTTTTTTTTTGGTTAAATTGAGGAAAAATATCGTTGGTATCAAAAAATGGATCACTGTCCAAAAAACTATCTGTGAAGTTAATTTAAAAAAAAAAACTGATGAGACGCTATATAGGTTTCCCTAAAAACCTAGAATTAGCTTTCAAGCTCTTTATAGAAATAGCATACCTGTAAATTTTAGATTTTATCATTATTTTTATTGAAAAACCAAAATATTTTTGTTACTAGGGCTTTTTCTTAGTTGAATCCATTCATTTTTGAGGTAAGTGGTTTTTGGTTACTTAATCCTATGGTTCATAGATTCCAGAATGTATTTGAATGTAGAACACGTTTATAAACTCCAGAAATTTTATGCAAAATATTATATGCAGATCTCTGGGGGGAAAAAAAATCATCGATTTCTGTCCGATATTCAGAAATAAAAACATACTGAAAACCACTAAAAGTCCTTAACAACCAGTATGTTTACATGTTAAACTAACTGCTCTTTCATGATGTGCGAATTGGATCTAGATTTAGAAAACTAAAATGAAAAATATATTAATTAAAGACTTTAACTGAGGTTATTAAAGCAAATGTTTCAGCGAAGAATTTATAGTGTCTGCAGGGATAAACATTCAGAAACCAAAGTATACCCACAGTGTATTTCTTGGATGAGAGATTTTGTTCATTGATGAGTAAGCATTAAATATTTGTCAGGGTTTTCTTGTTGTTGTTGCAGTTGCTTGGATGAGAAAACCGTTTGTACTTTTATCAGCTCTGTAACAGAGGATTCTGTAGTAGCAAATGTTTGAAGGTGGGTAGCTTTGCCCTGTACACCTTTACAACTCGGATCTGGTTCAATGTCTAAAGCTGTTTTCAATACGGATTGAGATCATGGTATAGTATATGCCAACTTTCCATACTAAGGAAGTACTCGCCCTCCTTCTTGCCAAATTTTAATTCATTTTTCCATTTGAACATTCCAGAGGGCCTTGCTAAGCAGATGTACTTTTGTCATTTCTTCTGGGTTTTCTCCCAGCGTTTGTTGTTTGACTATTGTCTGATAATCTGCTGGGTCTTAAAATGATTTCTATTTAATACATAAACACAGTTGTGTTGTCCTCACTGAAGTAGGTCACTCAGCCAATTTATCTATTCTCATGGACTCTAACACTTTAACATTTCATAACACTGGAAGCACATTAAGTGAGGCACAGACACAATGGAAGAAAATCTCTGCAGCATATGCCCTTTTAATGGAAGCTTTTCTATTTGGGGATTGCGTTATACTCACCATAGCCATGTGTTTCTGATTATCTCCTGTTGACGGCCTCACAAGGAGAACTTACTGGGTTGGGTTTTGTTTTGTTTTTTGACTCCTGCATGACTATTCATTTTCCAAGTCTTCACTTTCTTGACTCTCCCTTCTCCTTCAGTACCTATGCTCTAATTAATTTTGTTTGCATTTCTCATAGTAAAAAATATGTTTAACATTTGGAAATTTCTTAAAAATTATTTGTTTGGCCCAGGTTTTCTAGAAACAGAACCTGAGGCAAACATTCCATGCCAAGACTTTATTGGAAAATGCAACCCCAGGAACACAAGAGTGGGGAAGAAAAACAAGAAAGAAGGAGAAAAAACACAGCTGTCTGCACTATTGGGAGTCATAGCTAGAGAGGCTTTCCTTTAACAACTGTGCCTCAGAACAGGCACAGGTGGAGAGGTGCAGAAAGAGCAAGCGCTTTATCTCCTGATCTCTTCTTCTGCCTCTTCCTGGTCGGAGTCTTCCTCCCACTGCTGCTACTTACAAGGTGTGTGACCTGGATTGTCAGGGAAGCCAGGGCCTGGGTGGGAGTGGTCCAGCCCGTGTAGAGGTGAGGTGGTCCCTCCTTTGCTATCAGTACTGTGAGCAGCAGAGATGGTGAAGGCAGCGTCCACAGTTTGATGTCCCCAGAATGGTTAGTGTTACCCACTGGAAGGGTAGGTATCGCTAGCAAAGTGATCTAGTGACTACTAACACGGTGGCTGTGATAACTTTGCTTTCTAAAAACTTCCAAAAGGTCTAAGTATGTGACCTTGCTTTCTCTAAATAACATTTTTAAAAAGTATCTCACTAAGAATTCCGCTCTTCACTTGAAAAGAAACAAAACCTCTATTTCATCTTTACCTTTCTGATCCCTTTCATTTATTCATTCTTTCATTTTTTAATTGCTTGAGTAAACATTGATCAGGCAATCGGTACGTTCCAGGCTCTTCATGTGATACTAGCAGTATTGAAATAAAAGGCACTGGTGGACAGACAAGTAACTAAACACAGGGGTGGGCAATTGATCATTACAAGACTACTTTTTGAGAGATGAGAAGGAACTGGAGGGGGTAGAGAAAGAAAAAGTGTTATGAGCAGAAAAACCTGCATATGCAAAGAGAAATTAAGTGGCCTGATACATTTGGAAATTTTCAAATATTTTTTAGACAGCATGTTGGCGAGGGAGGGTGTTGAATGAGGCAAGGAGGCAAATATACAAGGTAGAAAATTCAACAAGGTGTGGATGTTGGACATGTGCACCTGATAAAGAGTCAGGATTCTACTCTGAAAGCAGCAGAGAATCCCTGAAGAAAATTAAGCACAGATTGACATGAATAGGTTGATGTACTGGAGAGAACACCTCACAACGCACATTGCAGGGTGGACTGCAGTGGAATAACATTGAAGGCAAGAAGACCATTTGGGAAGCTGACATTTCCAAATGTCTCGTCTTTGTCAAATCTTACTTTCCTCACGTATTCTTGAACACCCTCTGTTCAATATTTTTTAGGACTGGCTCCAACCACAGTTACTCTTTATTACTTATAATATTGCCCGTTTGAAACCTT